AAGACAAATGGCAACAAGCATCCCCTTGTTGATGGTTGACAGGTCTCTCTTTCGATTTTCATGTTAATCTGATTGTTTTGCAGTTATATATTATAAATTAACATGAAGTTATTGTTGCAGAGATACGCCAATCAGGTAACATTTAATTTCCCACGGCCTGATTGTAAACTGAACAATTTTCCCTAGCTTTATATGGTTCAGCACGCCACATGACCTAAACACAGAAATAACAGCTTTTTATCCACATGGAGATGCAGCCTTGCACCTGTGTGTGTGTGTGTGTGTGTGTGTGTGTGTGTGTGTGTGTGTGTGTGTGTGTGCATTAGTCTGTGAAGAGGCTTCTGATTCTTCCTCCCTCTTCCCTTTTGTTGCTGTGACCCAGTGTAGATCTATAACCTAGGGACACTGGGTAACTGTACCGGCTTTAAAATAGCAAACAGGGGGAACAACGCATGTTATGAGATTCACTAGTTTCACGTCTCCCTGGGTGCGCCTATAAATAGCTTCTCACACTGGAATAGAGTTTTCCCCAGCGATGCGGACGAAAGCTAGAGGAACAGCTGCGCTTAAGCCAAGTCCTGTTAGATCAGCGGAGTCACATGGGCATACTCCTGTCTCTCTCTCTTGTCTTTTCTTTCTGTCTCACTCTCTGTCTCACTTCCCATTTTTCGTGTTCCCAATCTGTCCCACTGTCCGTCTTTCACCCGTTTGTTTACCACCCTGTCTTGCAGTATCTTGTCTCTCTGTCACTGTCTCCCCCCTGTCTGTCTGTCTGTTTGCTACATTTTCCATCTCTCTTGATGTCCTGTAATTTGTGTCTATGTCATTATCTCTGCCCCCTTGCTTTATCGCACTGTCAGTCTATCTTCTTTTGCTCAGGCTGACTTGTTGTTTGAGTGGGTGTCCTTCTTTGTCTCCCATAGCCTCTGTCTGTTTGTCCCCGTCCTGTAGATTTCTCCCTGTCACTCTCTCTGTCATGTTTATCTGTCTTTCTCATTATTACCAGACCTCCCCTGTGTGCTCTGTTAATTGGTACAATCCTAATATTAACAGAATTAATCTGTGTTGTTATTAATAGGTTTCTTGAAATAGGAGTTTGAACTACATACAGTTTTTAAATAGACATTTTATCAGATGTTTAATTGTCCACATTAATAACTTCTAGAAAGTGTTTATAATTCACTGAATGCAGCATGTAATGAAAAATAGTTCTGCATAGCAATTCTGATATCATTCTTGTATTCATAGTCATTTAATATAGCTGTGGATAGCATTTTGAAGACTGAACTGAAAGATATAAATGAGACAAAATTGAAAAGGGTAAAGCTCATTTACAATTCATCGTGTCGGGATAGGCACTTTGGATCCAGACCATTTACAATCAATATCAGTATTGAGAAAGGTAATTACCTAATGTTTAAACATTAGTCGCAAATGCTAAAAACAACGCCATAGGTAAAACAGATATGGGTTATTCACTCTCCTATACATACCTATCTGGTGTGCATCAACACACCATTCACTTTGATACTTTTATTTCAAAAATCTTTGTTTCATGGATAATATCCCTTTTCCCCCTTTTCAATTCTTAACATATCTACCGACCCCTGCTGCTCCCTCTTTCCCCCTCTCTCTCTGCCTGTCCCTCTCTCAGTTTGACATCACAGGTGTGTATATATAGCCAACAGATGGATTCTCCCACAGCAGGCTGCTTCAGTGCTTCTCCCTCCCTCCGCTCAGGCCTACCGCCGACCACCCAAATGAACTAGAAGCAATTACTTGTTTACATTGTCTCTTCCGATCTGCCCAACCATCAGTTTGTGACTGCATCCATTATTCATCTGTTCCCCTCCACCCCATGCACACACAGTAAAACATTACTGCAGCTCAATGTGTTCCTACATCCTCTATGTTCAGGGGTATACCAGAGAGAATTGCTGCTCCCATTTTAGCCTGACATCCATGGACGTCTAGACACAGAGTACACATTTTAAATGAAAACGTGAAATCCGAGCAGGAAACATGTCTAGCTTCACTTTAGCTTGTCTAAAGGAATATTACTCACGAAAACATTGGTTTTTTGTTTTTTCTTGGTAGCACAAGCGAACCTGTCACTCAGTTAGCAGCATTAACCACAAAATGCTTGTGACAGGGCTAATGTCTGAAGGCGTAAAGGAAACGGTAGCAAGGAGAGCTAGGGACAGGTAGAGTTTCTATGAGACGTGACTTACGTGACATACGGTAGTTCCAGTGTTATGTGGTGTGTTCCCAGTGAGGCATACGTGTGTGGAGGGTGAAGTTGTTGGGGCCCCTCTGGCTTAGAAGTAACTGCTGAGCACAGACAAGCACACACTACGCCACCACGACATGCCTGGAGTGCCATCGAGCAGACATGTAGCCAATCAGAGTGACATCCCTGTGCACTGTGAGCCTTATGCATACACACTTTGCTGAGTATTTGCAGCATGTGACAGGCGAGACGCATCCTGGCTATAGTAGTCAGGGGAGTACTGGAGAAGTTTGGACAGAGGGTCGTTAATGGCTGAGAGTTTGAGAGAAGACAGAATCTTGCTCATGAAGCCTGCATATTCAATTATATGTATCTGTTAATGTAACACTATAACCCTTAGCTTTCAGGCAACATTGATCTTTTTGAAGAAATTGTTAGAGTGGAAGGTAATTGACACAACTCTCTCTTTTTTGAATGGGGGCTAATGAGTTTGTGTCTTATACACACACTAATGAATGATTTACCTACATTTCAGAAGAAAAGTCTGCATCACTTTCATTGAACCTGGCATTTAAAATCAGGCCCTGATTTTGTGTGACTTTCAAAGACAAAACTATATATTTGAAATAACACCCATCATAGGTATTTAAACAGCTTGTGAGTCTCGTAACACTAAGCCGTTTAATGAGTATATAAAGCATAAGTAACTGAATTATCCACCGCAGTACTGAGAGGCCTGACGTTAGGAGCGGATAATGATCTTATGACTAAGTCAGGCTTTTTTAGGGCCAGTTTATTGTTATGGGGTTGGAATCAAATTAGGAAAATGGCAGCTGTGTCCATGCCATATCATTATGAAATATAATCCAATTTGACCAGCCAATCCTCTTGAAATGGACACAGCCATTTCTTGGGCTCATCTGTTATAGCACTTGGGTTCATCTGCTTTAGCCCTTCAGAAATATTCAAGTTGCAGTCTGTTTTGTCTTCGTGTTGCATGCGGGCACATATTCCACAGTATTGCTCACCCCAGTGGTTACTTTGACTTTGGTTGCCTACTTATCCTGGAACATTGTGCGTCTTGCGTCAACACAAACGAATATGCTGTAAACACATTTCTTTTTTTACTTGCATCATCCTTTTCAAATGTGATGGGTCCGGGTCATCCGAACAAACGGTAGCAATGTGACATGTTCAGTGCTGGGAAACAAATGTCACATAATAATCTGCTTTGATGGCTACTTGTCGGATGCCACTTTGAGGAGGGACATTGTCAAATGCGTTCCAAGTGCTGAATGTGTACCCTGCTGTAATACGAGCCTGCCTTCTTGGAAAGGAGCAATGGGGCCGCCATCAAGAGGGTCAAAAGTTATTGCAATTCCAGGGATTCTCTGTGGACGCCATTTGCTGGGATTAGTGTGTGGCTTTATGAGGCTGAGGGTGACACACAAACCTTTACTCTGAGTTTAATTGTAGCATTGGGATGCCTTGAAAGCCTTGAAAGCTGTAAAATGGTGTTGCATTATTGGAGAAGCCTGTGACCTAAGATTTTAAACGACATAATTACTCTGTAGCTATGTTGGTTTGACAATAAAGAACCTTGAACACAGGGACATCTTCTCATTCCATTGTCATGCCAGAAGGAGAGGGAAGCTGAGTGCCGACTTGTGTCAAATCAGGAGTGAGTGAATGGCTGGAGAGGAACAGCTGCATGTGACTGTGCCAAGCAAAGCATCTCAATGAGCTGCCATGCAACTCAGTTCACTCAGCCGGACACAAGAAGGAATGTTGAAAGGTCTGCATGTGAAAAACAGCTTTACTCTCTCAACCCCTGCGGAACAATTAACTTTTAAAGAGCTGTGTGTGTGTGTGTGTGTGTGTGTGTGTGTGTGTGTGTGTGTGTGTGTGTGTGTGTGTGTGTGTGTGTGTGTGTGTGTGTGTGTGTGTGTGTGGTGTGTGTGTGTGTGTGTGTGTGTGTGTGTGTGTGTGTGTGTGTGTGTGTGTGTGTGTGTGTGTGTGTGTGTGTGTGTGTGTGTGTGTGTGTGTGTGTGTGTGTGTGTGTGTGTGTGTGTGTGTGTGTGTGTGTGTGTGTGTGTGTGTGTGTGTGTGTGTGTGTGTGTGTGTGTGTGTGTGTGTGTGTGTGTGTGTGTGTGTGTGTGTGTGTGTGTGTGTGTGTGTGTGTGTGTGTGTGTGTGTGTGTGTGTGTGTGTGTGTGTGTGTGGAGCGACTGCACACACATTATGTCGTTATCTAACACACACACATGCAAGGGCTACAATAGGGCTTAGTTATATCAGTAATTAGCTTCTTGGTTGATTTATATTCAGGCTGTTCTTAGCGTTGTTGATGCCTGCAAATTAATTCATTTTGAGATAACTCACCTTAAAGATATATTTGAGATTTTTCCATTCAATTCTCAAGACACAAAAGGAACATAGGATATACATGTTAAAATACAGTATATGCATATGCAAATGAGATAGTATCACATTTTTGCTCTTGGTAAATGGAAAAATCTACAGATACTAATATACAAATTGTAGTAAAATATTTGTCTGAATGAGTTTAGTTTGGATATATTCCTTCCCTTATTTTGAAAGTAGACAAAACTCTTAAAATGTACCAGTTCATAAAAAAACAAGGTTTGTGCCTGTAGTGTATTGCCTAAATGCCATTTGATATGTGTGCCTTTTTTATTTTAACCTGTAGACTTAGTGTAGTAGATTTAATGTGCTCCATTTCCTCACACAGATTATTGTTTTTCTTTCAGGAGGTGAAGGTGATCCAGCCCGTAGCCACAGACAAACCAAAGGGTGAAGGTGTGAAGGAGGAGGTCCCCATGAGCGAAGTGGGATGGATGACTTCAGTCAAAGACTGGGCCGGTGTCATGATCTCCGCTCAGACGCTCACTGGCAGAGTTCTGGTGAGTTCTCCCTCTTTTAGTGGATATAAATGTCTCAAACACCAGTAGCAGTTCATTAATCATTTTCCCAACCCACAATTCGACAAGTGCCTGTGGCCAACAGACTGCAACTGGTTTTCACACCCAAATTGGCTTTTAGATTAATCCGCTGTAAAATCCACTGCATGACATGCACTCACCTGTTTTATACAGGTCCCTACTGGAGACATTCTGTAGGGCAATTAATGTAATCCCTACAGAATTCTGGGGATGCGTAGTCCTTGCTGAACTCAGTCGGATATTTGGCTGGCCTGCCTTCTTTCTGCTCAATGGCCTATGTGTGGCACGCTGTAACTCTCTCAGCTGTGCATCTGCCAGCTGTCTGTGTGTGTGTGTGTGTGTGTGTGTGTGTGTGTGTGTGTGTGGATTTATTTGTACAAGAGATAGCAAGGTGTTTGTGCAAGAGGTAAGGGGCTGTCACTATGGCTTTTCTCATTGTATGAATTACAGTCCCTTTCCCCTGCTGACCGCCCTTTCTTTAGCTTCATCCCTCACTCTGGCCCCAGATTCTCTCCTGCACTCTACAGCTCTTTGCCAAATCCTGATGTATCTGCAACCGTCTAACTCTTATATATGATGCTCTGCTTCTATTCAGCCTGTTCCCATTCTGCTTGAGTGTTCGTATTTCAACCATAATGACAGTTAACTCTGTTCCTTGATGGTCACATGGAAATTGTTGCAGCAATAGAATTAGCTGAGATGTGTAATAGCAGGTGATTTTGATGTCTTTAGGGATACGTACCTCAAAAGTAATGCCTGTCATAAGGACATGGTTTAAGGGGGTACAAACACATTGTGAAAATGTGATGGTACGGCTCTCATCTACCTCTTAGCTACACTGAGCGACAGACAGTTAGCTTGATTATACATTTAAAAATGTTTGAATAAAGCCCATTCAAGTTAATCTCGTCATCTCCAATGCTGGACAATATACACTTGGGTGATTTGACCCCAACAATCACTTTAGGAATTTTATAATTGTGACATGATAATGAGGGTTTATTCATCAGCTGCTCTAAAAAAGCAGCTTTTTACTTTAAAAATCTCCTCTAAGCTTCATCTGATCTTACCTTAGTTCTCATCTTAACTTGCATTAGACTATTAACAGAAGTTTCTTCTGTGGACTGACTGAAGCAGCAGTGGGAGTTTGGAGAGAGATGGATCCCAACTAAAATACTGACTCTGTCATTGTAAATGTTTGCTGGAATGTGACAGTTTCTTCACGCCTGGTGAGAATAGCTGGGCGTTTAGAAGGATTCAGGCCTTTTATGGTGAAGAAGATGTAGAATCCTGAAGGGAGCTGTCAATTTACTAAATGAGCTTCTCTTTCATCACTTCCCCACTCACACAGCTCCTCTGGCATGGACACAGCTTCCTTTCGCTTTCATCTTCTGCTCTGACTGAGCCCTCCCTATCTGCCCTGTATGTGTGTGAGTGTGAGAGAGCATAAAAACATCACACCAACCAAGAGACAGACGTTCAGATGGAGAAGGAAACACAGAGTGATTGTGATAGTCGGGGTAGAAATATGGCAGTGTTAGCTTTAAAGGGGTTTCTAGGCCTGGAGATATCCCAGTGTGTCACCTGCTGTGATTTGTTCTACTTCTGGTGGGGCTGATCATTTTACCCAGCAGGCTGTGTTTGCTCACGTGCTCGGGCTAATGATATGCAGCACAATATGTACAAAACTGATGAGCGCTCTGTGTAGGTGAATGAGTATCTCTTCATGTGGGTGGAACATGTACATTTGTGGATGCATGTATGCTAGTATTTCTCCACATAAACAGTACATGCACGACAGCTTGTGTATTTGTCAAAGTAAGTGTGTACGGTGTGTGTGTGTGTGTGTGTGTGTAGGTGGGTGATTCTGTGGGACTCTTGCTCTCCCATCAGTGCTTCACTGCAGATCAAAATTGCAATGAGTATCCGTGTACACAGGACCTGGCTGGTAACCATGGCAACTGCTGTGTAGTGATGCTCAGTCATCTGACATTAGGGGGGTGTCTGCCTGGGAAGAGCAGAGCTCACACACACATATACCAACCCAGTCTCACGGCATTTCGTGTTCACCAACACGATTTTTAATCTATTGATTCGTGTTCACCAACACGATTTGCCCCTTTTTTTCGTGTTGCACAGCACGATTTTAAAAGCAATGTATTTCTACTGCCTGCAGCACGTCTTTTTCTCCGGTCGGGTCGTGGGAGACCGGAAGCTGTGTGGTTCATAAAAACATGTTCTTACTCAATATCAAGCCACAATTATTGCTTTTATTTTAAATCGTATAATTTCTGACTTTTGTTGCCGTCTGTGAGGAAAATAAATGGGGCTCAGAGCCTCAGAATACGGAAATCTGTATTTTAAAATATTTTTTTCCTTCTAATTCGTTATTCTTTTCAAAATAACACACTGTTATTTACTCACCAATAACACACAATTATCCTTGCTTTTATTTATTGGTTTAATTCCATAATCTCGGGCTTTTTTGGCGTCCGTCAGGAACTGAATTTCAAAATAAAAATAACCGGAAACAGACGTAGGTCTATAAGGGACATTTCGAGCATCATTGCGATTGTCAACGTTTCTGAGTTTAGGATGGCCGAAGACACTACACTACCCATAATCCCCAGCTATCGTTTAGGACTACAGTCCCCGTAAGGTTACGCAGAGCGTCAAACAGCTGTGTGAAATGGAACAAAACCACGCCAGACTATCCAAAACTGGAATTGAACGCCCCCCCAGAACTACACATGCTGGCTATTGTGTTTCGCAAAATGTTCTATGGGACGTCTCTACTGAACGTTTTAGTTTTTCCCACAATTAGAAGTTGCCAGTATTAAACACATTGGTGTTATCAAATGTAAAACATATAATTAATAAATGGGTGAAAATCGCTTGTGTCCATAATGCGCAGCATTAATACCCACATGACAGCTCATTGTTACTTTGTAATTCTACTCCACTACAATTCAGAGGTTAACCTGGTATTTTTACTCCACTGCATTTATTTGAGTTACTTTACAGATTCTGATTAATTATGTGAAATATAAACAACCCTTAAATCAGACTTTAGTTACACCTGAGTAAAATTCAGGTAAGGTGATTGTCAAGTGCCAACAATCAGGAGAGATATTTGATAGTTGGTGCTTGAGAAGACTAAACATTTATCTGCAATTGACATGAATGGAAACGAGTAATAAAGTATATTCATTACTCGTTATTCTCTACTAATAGTTAATTAAAGACTGTATATTATGGCTATTTTGCACATCCCTTTCAAGTTTTTCAAAGGTTTATTGACATATCATATACACAACTACGGTGTAGTTATGCAATGAATGAAACACTTGGGTCACAGGTTCCACAACAGTGCATTACAAGACATCTATCAATATGTGTGTACCTCCACCATTAAACTGTCATATTCTGCACATTTCTTATTCTATCTACATAAGAGTATAATTAATGTGTATAATATCAGTTAAAATAAGTGCTTCAACATAGTTAACATTGCAGGAAAGCAATATATTAGACGTTAAAGGTGGGGTAGGTAAGTTTCAGAAACCGGCTCGAGTGCACTAACATTTGAAAGTACACAGCCGAAAAGAATCCACCCCTTCCTTCAGACTTCCTTACAGAGCACCTCCTCCAACACACATGAACGCGCACATGACGTCAGCAGACTGGTGAAAGTGGCCGCCTGTTGCTGGCGAGTCATTGAAGTACTGCTGCAGCTGCAATGCACGCCCAATGAGGGCACGAGATATATTTGTGCGTGCACGAGATGGAAGGCTGACAGACAAGGCGGCAATCCAATCCGTTTAGCCGGCCCGGCTAAACGGATTGGTTGTACTTTTTACAGTATTACGGCTTCCACAGATGAAATTTTTTAATGGATTTTTTGTCAAAGCACTTAAGATATTCATTGCTATCGGATGTTAAGAGCATTCCATGGAATATAACAAAAAGTGTATCTCGAGCCGGTTTCTCAAACTTACCTACCCCACCTTTAAGTACTTTGTCAGGCTTAATATTTATCTGTAGATAGATACCCCCAAAGTTGTTTTCTTATTTAAAAGAAGACCTTAATCTGTTATTTAATGTTTAAATAAAGGTTAATTTCGTTTTTCTGTTTTGCACCTCCTCCTATTAATATCTTTGTACATTCTGCACTAAACTGTTTTATTGTAGAGATCACTTATAGTATCGTCTTGATTTTTTATATTCTATATTTATACTTTCCCCCTATGAAAGTATGTACTCTTAATATTTTTGTAATCAAATAAAACACAATAATTCAATAACGTGCTTTAACCACTAGGAGGTGCACACAAGGTACACACAGCCATAATAACTTTGTATTATTAGTGTAGGACACTTATGTTTTCGTACAACATCTGAAGATGTGTAGTTTTATGCATGCTTTCACATAATTTTACAGCATATTGCTATACTATTTCAGACTCAGTATTTACATTCTTACATTCAAAGAAAATCAGTAATATCTTTAAAAACTACAGTCCTTTTATATCAGCTGTGCACCGTTATGGTGTAAATATAACCTATCTGTGAATTAGATCAAATGTAAAAGTCAGCCGAATTAGTGTTGATACTGCAAGGAGACGTATTGTGTGAAGAGAAATTGAAGATGTTGTTTAATTGTTGAATATATTTGTGATCCACGTCAAGTATTCAGTTTCGGCGGCATTTTCTCAGTTTTTCCAAAGGTCTTCTCATCAGGGCTCTATAAATAAAGAACTACGGCAGATCTGTAATATTCAATGCAGCTGAACCGTGTATTACAATGCCGTTATGTGATGACTTTCAAAGAGAAAAGCAAGAGCGCTCGGAATTAAGTATTATTTTATTCTTTTAAAATGTTTTCCGGATTTCATATCATATAAACACCAAATCCCAGCATGCATTGCGGCTAAAACATCCAATAAACGAGCTTAAAACCA